CAACCATACACATAACTGAGAACAGAACTGGCCATGTTAACAGATATTAGAATACCTTAATAGAAACATAGAATATATAGAATACAACAAATACAAAATATAACTTATGCTTAAGTTATTGCAGAAATTTTACAAGATTTGTATACAAAAGCATGGAATTTATTTATCTTTCTATAAGCTATGATACAAAATTGCATGACAATAGAGGTACAGGCAAATAGTTAAAATTTTGCTACTAAAGGCCACTTCCAAAATAGGTAGTAACTTGATGGATATTGACGTTGCAAAAACGTTCTTTATACCATTAGAATGCTGGAGTCAACTAGGTATTGAACATCAAGTGTTAGGCTATGCATCCTGTGTACTGGACAGCAATCTGGTGTCAAATTCACTACTTAGCCAGGGCTTGGCTGGAGAATAATACATGAAAAACAGGCTGTAACTCAATGGATATTGATATTATGAAGGCATTCTTTATACAATTGGAAAGCTGGCATCAAGTAGGTGTAGGATGTCAAGTGTCGAGTTGTGCATTCTGTGTACTAGACAGCAATCTGGTATTAAAGTCAGCACTTAGCTATAGCCTTACCACAGAATAATACATAAAAAACAATCTGTAACTCAACAGACATTGATATCATGAAGGTGATCCTCACACCAATTGAAGACTGGCACTGAGTAGGTATAGGACGTCAAGTGTTGGATTGTATATCCTGTGTACTAGACAGCAATCTGATATTAAAATCAGTACTTAGCAATAGACTCACCAGAATAATACATTTAAAATAGGCTGTACCTTAACCGATATTGATATTATGAAAACGTTATTTATACAGTTGGAAAGCTGGTGTCGAGTAGGGGTAGGATGTCAAGTGTCAAGTTGTGCATCCTGTATACTGGATAGTAATCTTGTATTAAATTTAACACTTGGCCATAGCCAGACTAGAAAATAATACATGCAAAATAGACTGTAACTCAATGGATATTAACACTTCAAAGATGTTCTTTACACCATTGGACAGCTGGTATTAAGTAGGGGTAAGATGTCAAGTATCAGATTGTGTATCCTATGTACTGGGCAGTGATATAGTGTCCAAGTCAGCACTTAGCCATAGCATCACTAGAGAATATTACATCCAAAGCAGGCTGTATAATAGTGCCAGGAAGACATTCCTTATACCTGTAACCGGTACGGGTACTTGGTTATTGGTTTTGTTTTATGTTTTGTTTTAAGTATCGTTTGATACTTGGTGTTGTTTTATGTTTTGTTTTAAGTATCGCTTTGATACTTGGTTTGTTTTAAGTATCGCTTTGATACTTGGTTTGTTTTAAGTATCGTTTGATACTTGGTTTTGTTTTATGTTTTGTTTTAAGTATCGTTTGATACTTGGTTTTGTTTTATGTTTTGTTTTAAGTATCGCTTTGATACTTAAAGAGTTTTACCAAAGAGTATCAATTGATACCCTTGATTAGTTTCGTTCATGCTAGACATGAACAGATTTGTGTATTTAAAGACCGCCTGTTTCTACGATAGAAAAGGCAGACTTCGACAGACAGTATTTCAATATACTTGGTTGAACGGTTACTTCATTGTTCCCCAGTACACCCTCGAAACCTCCTTTAGTTCTCAGCTCTCGCCTCCTCTCTGGAAGAGCAGGCCACCTGCCAACTATCGTATCTATTACCGACAACGTGATTAGCACCTTGCGAACACGTTACAATACCATTGGAAAGCTGGGATCAAGTAGGTCTAGGATGCAAAACATCAGCTTATATGTGGTAGTATTTAGGATGGAATCTAGTGTCAAAGTCAGCATATAGTCAGAACTTTACTAGAAAAGACCACATTCATAATAGCCTGTATATCTACCAATATAGAGGCCAGGAAGACATTCTATACATTATTGTATTGCTGGCATCGAGTAGGTCTAGGATACAAAATATCAGCTTGAATGTTAGAGTATTCAGGACGTAATCTGACATCAACATTAGTATATAGTCAAAACCTCATCAGTAAGACCACCTTCATAATAGCCTGTATCTCTACAAATATCGTTGCCGGAAAGACATTCTATACATCGTTGCAAAGCTGGCATCAAGTGGGTATAGGATGTAAAATGTCAGCCTGCATGTCAGGGTATTGAGGACGGAATCTGGTATCAAATTTAGCACTTTACTAAGATACAAAGTTGGCTGTAACTCTATGGATAATAGCCCCTAGAAGACATTCCTTACATAGTTGGAAGGCTGGCATCGAGTAGGTCCAGGATGCAAGACATCAGCTTGGGTGTCAGAGTATTCAGGACATAATCTGGCCTTAAAATAAGTGTATAGTCAAAATCTCACCAGAAAAGACAACTTTCATAACAGCCTGTATCTCCACCAATATCAATGCTGGGAACAGGTTCTTTATACCATTGGCAAGCAGGTATCAAGTAGGTCTAGAATACAAAGTATCAGCCTGTATATCTGAGTATTCAGGATGAAATCTGGTATCAAATTCAGCACTTTACCAGGACACAAAATGGCCTGTAACTTCTTGGAAACTCACAGTAGTCAGATATTCTTTGATGTAATGGAAAGCCAAAATTGAGTAGAATGTTGTCCTAAATTATTAGCTTAGATGTTATAGGGACTGTTGAGCAATAGTAGTTAACAGACATACTGTTAATGTTCTAACCGTGATTTTGTATGGTTGTCTAGATGTGTGGTTCTCCAGAAGTTAAATGTGTTGAAGTCTTAGAAAAACTGAACAAAATACCCAAGTCACCACCCAACAATCATAACCATTACTCACATTTACATTCCCAGATTCTTCAGGAGACAAAAATAGAATTTGGTTCTACACATTTCCTATTTCTGGAGATATTTTTAGATTTAGTCCTAAGGGTAGCATCCAGTGGATATACTGGTAGCTGGTATGTGACTTACTAGTAGTGTTATGATTGGGACTCTCTACTGTCTTGTATCATAATATCAGCAATGATTAAGGTTGACCAAGTCAGATTAGGAGGTGAAAATTAGCACATCCTTACTTAGGATGAACTCAGGACAGGTAGGACGCAACAGGATGTTCTGGATGCCCAGGATGCAACTAGACACTCAGGACGCCCAGGATACACGAGTTGTGAGCAACTGAATCTTTGCATCAGGATGTACAGTGAACGCATCTGATACAGTGTTTTTTTTTGCTGATGATAGCAGTCCTTTTTAAAAACACTTTGATACTACTACCAGTATTGGTATACTCCTGTGGGAGCTGGTTGTTATGAGGTCATTGGGGTTTTTTTTTTTTTTTTTTTTACAATGTTGTTTTATCCCCTTCCCCCTTCCTTGATAGCATGGAATATAGCACTCTTATTGTGGTTAGTATATGGTTATTTGTGGTTCTGTGGAGGTGGCGAGTATTTTTCAAATTTGTTTAGTGTGTCGCTGATCACCTTTAGGGACCGCGCTAAAAGTTCGTGAAATTCGGGCACGAACGAAGGAATTGCGCGACCGACTTGCAGGTGTTTTAAACACCCATACTCCCATGAGGCGCAGTCCGGTGCTGAAGCTAGCAACGACAGCGAACAGAAGATACGAGAACCCGCATCGTCTATCAATCTTTCCAATTTATCATTGCACGTTCTCGTAAGAACACAGTGCCCATACATCAGTTTGCGGGTTAGCTTTAGAGTACGACGGTGCAAACACTCACGCGGGAGGGGATTTTTGTTCGCTTGGAAAAGATGCCCTTCGGAGTTGGTTGCCTGCAAAGGAAAACTAAGATCTCGGTACCGAGATTGGGGGGTGCCCGCCTATCTATCCACCCTTGAAAAGTCCCGAACCGTAGGGCAGAGGAGAAAGATGGGAATGAGGAGGTAATGAGTAGAGCTGGGCTGTGCATGATAAACCTTTGTGGGGGTTGTAGCAGAAGATTACCGTGTTTACTCGTGGTATATCATTCATCCCACACTCGAGTACCCAAGTGTCCATAAGTTAGGAAGTTAGCCCCCTCGTCCATAGAGATTTGTATGGGATCAACGGAAATAGTTTTCAACTTTATTGGCAAACCCAATTATGATACAATCCACTATCATGTAAGAAACACAGCTAAACTACAATATGCCTAGCTGAGCAGGTTAAAGAGATTGAGGGCGCTGCTCAAGTATCATAGTTGATGAGTTCCAGCAAGCTCAGCTCGCTCAAGTTATACTGGGTCAAGAAAATATTCCACCCTCCCAGGGTGCTTAGTCTCTGAAGGCGGGGATTTGAGGTCAAACGGGGATAGTGGATTGAACGAGTTTTCACGCTATTTCACCAAGGAGCCTCTTCGGAAAGAAGAAGATGGGTACTCGAGAGTCAAGTACGAGTGACGGAATGTGGTTACAACTCGATAGGTCCTGTCGGGGCGATCGCTCCCTCAGCGCATCCTTTACGGCATACACTGTTGAATGGCTCACGAGCAATTGTTTTAAAAAATCCTCTCGTTGTTGCCTTGAGATTGCGGGTCGATATGCTCGTACTGTACCGGGCAGAGCAGGGAATCTCAATTATCGATCCCTCATGCAAAGGTCTAGGTATCATATCTCCAATACCGCTACTTTAATTTACCCCCAACAAATGGATGTTTTTTAATCACGTGATAGCGGGGTTCATAGACACGTTTCGTCAATGGCCCTCCGACGAAATTGGAGGAAGAAAGCTATGGATATCAATGATACCCCTCAGCTCAAGACAAGCATCCAATGCCATGGGGCCAAACGATTGCGTTTCATCTATCAAATGAGGCGGGGAATCACCTTCTTGTCGAGGACACAGCGGTCGCGCCCAGCCGGCCGTTTCACAGCGAATACCGAAAATTTTACCTCAGCACCACCAATTGGTGGAGGATTTTGTGTCACAACCCCGCGTGCTCAACAAGGGAGGCTGATGTGCGGCTGGGTGAGGAGGATGGGCGAAAGCAGGTGCGCCATGTTCGCTCTCAAGACCCAGCCAGGAAGATGACAGAAGGACCAGGCAGCCGAGCGAGAATGCAAGCACAGGAGACAAACCGGCTTTTCCAGCAAATCTACTCGCCTCATCATACTTAAACTTCTCCGCCCGTCATCCTACGACGTGCGGTTCTTTTCCCCCTTCCGCCCTTTTTTTTTTCCTTTTTTTCCCTTTTTTTTCGGCTCTTGCATCCCGTCCGCTGGTTCTAAGGCTGTTCACCGCAAACTCTGCTCTCTTTCTCTCCCCTCCCCCTATTGAGGACGCAAAGGGGAGCGAAACAGAGATCCCCCATCCAGTTCGCAGATAAAACAAACACGGCACTATGGGTTTCTCGATAAGGCGAGGAGTCACCAACCTGATCCGACGCGGACAGCGCCTAGGTAGTCAGCTTTCTTTATGATGTATCTATCCTCACCCTTGCCCGTGACTCCCATCTTGAACATGCTCTTGTTTCCCTTTTCCCCTTTCATTTCCCACCGTCATTGCAGTGTGTCTAACAGTTCGCTAACCGTCTACACTCCAATACAGCTGGAAATGCCCGCTGCTCGGTTTGCATGACTTATTTCAAAAACGCCCTCGTCAAAACCATTCCGGCCTGCGGACACAGCTACTGCAAGACGTGTCTGCAGAAGACCTACACTCGAGCCATGAATGATCCGGAGGGCATACTCCCGCCGCGGTGTTGCGGTCAGGAGTTGACAATGGCCTTTGCTGGGGACTTTCTTGCGGGATATATACCGAAGGAGCTCGAGATGCCGGATTCCTATGGTCATACGGATTTCCGGAGAAGGTACTTGGAGATACTGGCCGAGAGGACTAGCGATCCTATCTACTGTGCACATTGCAAGTCGCTGGGGAAACAAGTGTTTATCCCACCAGAAGAGATCAATGAAGAGGAGGACTCCGCTGTTTGTAGTACCTGCTTCCAGGGAACGTGTACGCTTTGCAAGAGGAGCAACCCGCACACTACTAGCAACCCATGCCCAGTCGATAGCGATGAGAGCAAACAGGAAATCAGGTACCAGAGACTATCTGGTAGGGCTGGGTGGAGGAGCTGTGAGGGGTGTGGAATGATGGTATCGAGGGATGTGGGGTGCGCGCATGTGGTGTGCAGGTTTGTCGGGATCTTTGTCTTTGTGTTGGTGTTTGGATTCCGTGGCTGTAACTAACGCCCTGATCAACCAACAGGTGTGGACAGGATGTCTGGCTTGCATTTTGATTGAAATAGCTTACCGAACGCGGCATTTCGGGGGGGGGGTTTCTTTGACCCTGTTGAAACTTTCATGGGATCGATTTGATATGTGTGCGGCGGGGATCGGGGTCATAATCTCTCACTCCCCGCATCATCACCTTCCATGCCCGATGAAGCTCCTATAAAGCTTCCAGACTACTTCCGGAAAATGCACTGCGAAGGGAAGGTTAATTCTGACGATTGCCCGTGTACGAGATCGATTGTTTCCTTGTTTAATGATATTCTTGTTTATGATTTGGGCGGAATGGCTGGATTGATTTATTGTCGCAGGGAGTTTATCTTGGGTTTCATCCGTTTCATTCACTGTTTCATTTCTTTGAGTTTGGTTTCCTAGTGTTGATTGAGATGCAAATTCTCTTCTAAAAAGCAGTTATTTGGTGTATGACGGTTTCCTTTGGGTGATTTTGTGTTTGATATTTTAAGACGTGGGTTTTCTATCGCAGGTATGGTTGTTTTAGAACTGCATCGTTCGAAAGCTACCGCAGACTTTATGCGATTTTCTTTCGGTCATTTCATCTGTCTATTTTTTTATATCTAGTGAGCTTGTGGAGTATCTGTAACTCCATATTTCCTACATAATTAAACTTTATGATACCTGAACTTGTTAGGGGAAAAAGATGGATTCTGCGCGGGTAGGTCCAGCATGAGACCCTTAAGGGATATTCTACATGTCCCAAGAACTCGTGTAAAATTACCGTACTGTCGAACCAGAATAAGGGACTATTCCACAAGTACCGGTATATCTTGAAAGCTTGGTTTACCGCATTACGGCCTTCGTTGCGCCATCACTAAGCGGCAGGTGGGAAACAATTGGCGGGGAAGGCGAGCTCTACCCAAGGGAGACGGGAAAACGAACACGTTATCGTATCGCATGAATTTTAAGGTTGACCAGCACATGTTGCTTGCTGAGTAAGCCAAGACCCACGCGAGGGCGAAGGTACGAGTACTCCGAGACTAACTTAAGCGAAAACATCTCGATATAATTTTACCGAATGACGTCATGAACGTATACAGCAAGCAGATTGAAGGGGGGAATAGAAAGTGCTGGGGATCTGGTACCGTAGACTAAATGGGATTCTGCGAGTAACTTACCATGATATGGCCGTTGGGTTCCCACAGGTGCGGTGTTCCTGGGCGAATCATTCAATAATCCCACCTCTGACGTCAGTTATTTGTGGAGGAAGAACGACTATTACCAGATTTTTACAGGTTTTTTTCTGTATTGAACCTTCTCTACTCGAGTACCGGTACCCCTTTCTTTCTTTGTTTCCGTCTAGCACTCGTTTCATAGCTGCTTTTTACTTGCAAAATGGCGTCGTTGTTATTGCTCTCCGGTCTTGCACTGCTAACACTTGCTGCTCCACCGCCGGAGAATAGTAGCGGTCTGCGGTCTCGTGCGGTGGGCGAAACCCTCACTGACCTCCTGAATAGCCTTCAGGATGGGGTCAATCCGGACGACATCAAGCAGAGCATATTACCGGACTTTTGGAGTATCCCCGGAACCGACGAAATTACCAGAGCGCTTGGGTTGAACGAGACGGGGATTCGAAATTTGCCGTTTGAGTTTTTGAATATTCCGTTTGCCCACCTTCCCTCTTCTATCCTTCTCATGCTTTGTGACCACGAGCCAACGAGTTATTTGAACACAGTGGCTACGCAAACTACACTCCGCAAGGATGGAATTTGAGAATCCACGGAATGGCCTATAAACAGCCACTGTCCGGGCCGGGGGTGGTGTCCAATCATACGCTGGACAAAGCGGCGAATAAGTTCTTGCCTGACTTTGACGTTGGAGAGTTGCAACCGCACGAGCAGGACAATGCTAGGAACTTGACCAGCGCGATACTGTCATTGCCGCAGGCAGGGGAGAAGCTGCTGTTCACGCTTGACGTCAGGGAGGGGCAGAGCTTCCAAAGTGGATGGGCCGGAGTTGTGGAGTGGGCCAAGGCGATGGATTCCAGGGGTAGGGGGTTCAGTGAGTGATAACTGCGGAGCGCTTGTGAGCTAATGAAATGGGGGATTAGGTGAAATCGATGGCTTTGTTCGGCTCCCGACGAATAATGAGAATGACCTTCCGGACGGGAATGCCACTAACGCGAAGGTGGTTGAATTGGATGTTCATACTAACCGGACTGATAGTGAGTGATTCATAGTGTCCTGAGATTATGGATTTGGGCTGGTGTGTTGACTTTTTAGCTGGTAATGCAACTGCCTACCTCGTCCCCAGAGACGGCATTACCATCCTCTCAGATATCGACGACATCCTTCGGGTCACAAAGATCTACCTCCCAAAAGAAGGCCTCCTAAACTCTTTCGCCCGCGACTTCGTTCCGTGGATGAATATGCCCGAAATTTTTGCCGGGTGGCTCCGCCAGCACCCTGAATCCCCCTACCACTTCCACTACCTAACCACAACCCCGGAGCAAGCCACACGTGTCTACATGGACTTCATTTACAAAACCTATCCTCTTGGCTCCTTCGACACACGCCCTCTCAACTTTACGACAGTAGATCAAACCTTCTCCGTCCGCAGAACCATCCTCAACAGAATTTTCCAAACATTCCCAAGCAGAAAATTTATCCTCATTGGAGATACTACGAATAGTGACGTCATGGGTGACTATCCAGAGCTCGTTTCCGCATTCCCTGGACAGGTGCAGTGCATCTTGCTAAGGAATACCTCTGCAACAGACCCGGAAAACAAATTTCCGTATAATACGAAGGGATTCGAGAGGTTGAAACTGGGGCAGTACATGTTCTTCACCACACCCGATGATCTCAGAGGATTGGATTTCGCAAATGGGGATTGTAGAAATGCGAGCGCAAGGGTGGGGACTGTAGATTTTAGCTGGCAGGGATTGCCATTTGAGAAGAGTGCTGCTGGGGGTAGGGTTAGGGGGAATATGTGGGCAGCCGTTGTGGCTATGGTTGCTCTTGCAGTGTTTCTATAGGAGATTGTATGAACTCACGAATGGGAATGGGGGGCTTGGATACCCAGCACATATGAGAGATGAAGTGGACCTATGCATTTGTACACCATAATATCCAGGGATTTTTTTCTCTTTTGATTTCTTTTGATTATTCTAATCTCCTTTGAATTAGGTTGTTTGTAATCACGTTGGATGATGTGAACCTCAACGGGAGTTAAAGACATGTGAAAAGTATCGTGTCTCACGGAGCATAACGCGCAAAGGCAAAGAGCGAATGTTTGCGCATACTTGGCACTAACCTTAGGGTCTTTCACTTGCGGGATCTGAGCTATAGGTAGGTAAGTATCTCACAAGGTACCATAATTTACGGCAACTTATAGCTTATGGGTTGAGGTATTGTGATTCCTCGGTTGAGGGGGGTGGCGTCCTTTTCGGGAAATGGCAGGGTGATGAATGATTGACCCAAGATGGATGATGGACTGGGTCTCTGGTGGCCTAGAAGTTGTTCCTACTAGTCTCTTCAGGGGTTATCGTTCTTACCTCTTCAGGGTTGATCACAACGGTCGGTAGTAGGCCTCCGGGAAGTTTGCAGAATAGTCAAGGGCAGGTAGTAGATGAAAGTCGATGATGCCCGTGATACGGGGATGATGGAAATTCACAGGTCAATGATCCCTCAACCCAGGAACTGAAAGCCTCTCATAAACTCAGAGACTTTCTGCTACTGCCCGGAGGTGTTCTCTGCTTCCTTCTCTTTCTCTCGTAAATCCCCTGAACTAGCTACATATAGGGGTAGTCCCCTTACCCATAGTTCCTCTGAGTGCTGACGACAATGCCACCACTCTCTGTCCATACTCATACCTAACAGTATCGCCCGCGGTGTGAGGGGCCTACAGTGTGAAAGCGACGTGTATACCCGCTGAAGAAATCACTGGGCATATATAGCTTCGCTTTGTCCACTAGCTTGTGTGGGTTGCGCAGACAATATATACTAGGGACAACGGAGGCGAAGGGGACCGGGGCAGCTAGCTCGGAGTAAACGAAGTGCAGGTGGGGGGGTGGTAGGTCTAGCTATATTTTGCTGATATGGGCTTAGAAAAAAAATTGGTGTTAGGCGGTTTTCTTGGTAGGGGATGGTGGGAGGGCGGAATTCATTCCTCCGCTCCGGCGTGGACGAGTGAGTGGACATGAGTATTACCCCCCCCTCCCGCCTCACTCTGTCTCTAGAAGGTACCCTCAGCCGTCCAGACCTGATTCACCATTCAGTCTAATGTCGTTGCTATTCCTCGCCCCCCCCCTTCCCGCTCGGAGATACGAGTACTGTATAGCATCGGTCCAGACAGGATTTCACTCCCGAGCCGGGGCACGCGTATCGTACTACGTAACTAGCGTGCACAGCAGACCGAGTATTTCCTTTCCTTTCCTGCTAGATCTTGTGAACCACGCGCTTGGTGTGGCGGTTAGTGAGTCCGGGTTTTCTTCTTTTTTTCCCTTTTGATGATTCTCTGCGGGTTATGGCACGGGGGGGGCTCTCTCGATCACGGTGGAATGTTAGCGGTAGTTTGGCTCAGGGTTTTTTTACGCAGCAGGGAGTTTTGCGATTAGTGGGTAACTTATAATACTCTACCAGGATTAATTGTTCCCGGGGCGGTCTGGGGCGGTCAACGTTGGTCGGGATCGTAATTCTCTCCGGGGGGGGGGTTAGGAGTCAAACTTGATTTTCGCGGCGAATAGTCTGCAAGTCGGAGATGTTTGTGCTTTCAAAGACGCGGTGCATATGTCAAATGGCGGCTTCATCAGGAACCCCTCGGTGAGAAATAGGTGTTGGGAACGAGTGATTCTGCGTGATTAGGATTGTTTCACTTGACCGGATCCCGAACCGACTTGGGTGTGCGCTATCTCATTGATGGAAATGGGACGATTATCTGGTGTTGTTCAAAGAGGAGTTCAACCGTAGATCAACTTGATGGGATTGTAGGCGCCTTTAGCGCCCCAGTGTAAGTTAGAGCATGATTCCGTTAGTTCGCACGTTAACTCAGGTATCGAAGGACGCGGGGGGGGGGGGTATTAACATTTGGAAAGGAAATGAGGGGGGCGACATGGCCTACAAAATATTGCATGCTAACGGGGAAAAATGGTACGGTGATTATATCCCAGTTACCGACCTAGGTAACGCTCTAATCGCACTCTCCTTCCACCAACACTTCTGGTATGTCCGCTCCATGATGGTTTACAGCACTCTTGGTGAAGCTTCGGAAGCTAGTAAGTAATTTCTGGGATCAAGGCTGGAACTTGTGCTTGGTATTTGAGATGTAACATTTTTTCTGTGGGGTATATGCTATATTTCTTCGAGGGTGGGGGTTCGTGGAGAAAAAAAAACAAGTGCAAGCGAGTGATATTGTATGACTACTACCTGAAGGCGACCTTCCTCGAGTAAGCGCTAT